ACCTCAATATTCTTTTTATGTTTCAAATTCACCTCTGATTCTTTGTTAAGAGATATGTTTATTAAAGAATCCCTCATTCCTATTTCTAGTATAAATGGTTCTTCACTAAGTAGTCTACTTTCTAGTATTAACCAAAATTTTAAACTTGTTTTAGCCATTGATTTTTCATTAATTTTTTCGTATTTATTCATTTCAATTTTCTCCACCAACACAATAATTTTAATTTCTTCTATATCATACTTTAATAAAACTTTAAATTTCAATGATTTAGGTATCAAGATTTTAAAATCATGCAAAAGGCTATTTTTCACAATGTTTTATACCACAATTATTGTTATTGGATATTTTTTCTTTTGTTTTTCCATGGCAACACCTTTTTTAGCTACCTCTAACTTATATGATTTTTCAATGGTTATTATTTTCGCGACATTCGCTTATATTATTTATCTCTATTTATCGATCGTTTGGGTGATGGCCTTAGTGATTTCAATTGTTGAAGAAGGTAATTATGGAGTTATGGCTCTTGGAAAAGCTAGAAAAATAATTAAGGGAAATGAGATGAAAGGGTTTATTTTAAATATTGTGTTCAATTTATTGGCTTTAATTATTTTTTGGGGTACTCAAATTATTATTAAGAAATGGAATGTTAATAACAAGAATTCAATGTTAATTTTGGTTAATGGTTCTTGTTTATTGAAGGTGTTTGAGTTAGTGAATTATACAGTTTTATATTTTCATTGCAAGAAAGAAAAAGGGGAAGAAGAGGTAATTGAATTACAAGAAAGTATTGAATATAGCAAGGTCTATAATTTACCATTAATTATTGATGGTACAAATTAATCGAGATCGATCGATACGTTGCAATTGTTGGTTTTTAACGAGGAAGCTAAGTCATATAGTATGAACGAGTCATCAATTTGTGTCGATTATGACTATGTACTTTTCAATGAGAATTGTCAGCTCGATTTGATTATGTCTCTATCATTTGTACAAAAAGTAAAACAAAAGTGAGTCTAGCTCAAGATGATTATGTAATTTGTAATAGGTCAATGTTTGGACCTATTTTACTCTCTTTTCCTCCCTTTGTTGTATGTCCTAGTGCCTACTTGTGGAAAACTACTCAAAGAAATAATACTAAACAATATTTATGGCAAAAGAAAAAAGCTTCGAATTCAGACCTCTACAACTTGTTGTTCATAGTATTTCACGATCAGTATTGAAAATGAATAAAAAAGTTATGGAACATGCATAACCATATATTAGATTACTCTAACCATGTTCAAATTTGAAAAAGTCAACAAATGATTTCAGAAATATAATTAAGTACTTTGGTTCATGTTTAAATAAATCAGACATGCTAGCTAGGTGAAATACTTAATTAATAGCCCACATACCATCAATTATTTTCAGAATTCTTGAATTTTTCATACAATAAGAAATTGTCCATGGAGTTTTAGTATCTAGTTGGATTGAAGTTCATTTCTTTTATAGATCTTAATAATGGGTGATGATGTCAAAGGTTTGATTACGTATCATTATCCTACTTGTGAAATTATATTGATATGTTGTATAGAGTAACAATGCTCTCATATCATCTTCTCTTTAGATGAAGAAACCATGAAAGATCAACTGCAAATAAACTTTAGTCGCATCACTAAATGAGAGACGTTTATTCTTAAAAATATTGTATGTCTATTGACTTGATATAAATATTCAATACAAATAAACTTTTACAAAGTTCAAGGCATCTAAAGAATCACATAATTAGGTCCCGTAGGATTCAAGGCATTTGAAGAAGTAATCTCTTATGGCCACTTAGAATTTGAATAGAAGAAAATGATCCTCTAAAGATCTTGTGTGTTTCTTTTATGAAAAAATTACATAAATATACATCTTATTTTATGATAATTTCTAAAATTTCCTATCATTCAAAAAATTATAAAAATTCCTTCTCGGATACATCTCTATCCCCTCTCCGATACATCCCTCCCCCTCGGATATAACCCTATTACCTCTCGGATACATCCCTCCCTTCTCGTATAATCTTGTGAGCTATATTCGCAGATTTTGCTGATGCATTCGAGATCCTATAATTTTAAGGAATTTTTGTAATTTGGAAAAGAATATGAATATGATGTAATTAGTTCTTAACAATATGAAATTCATGTAATTTTTACTTTTATTTATCTCGATAATTCTCATTAGGTTTTGATGGTAGAATTTGAATAATGTCTTGTATTATTCAAATTAATTTTGATGGGCCCGGGCCTTGACTAATGGGCTAAAGTCTAGATCCTTAGAATTAGGCTCCCGTCTTTGTTTTGTTGTCAATTTGGCCCATGTGCACTTAGAGTCCTTTAAGATTTCTCTTTAAGGCCCCTTGATTTCTCTTTTCCATTCCTTTTTAGCTTTACAACTTTTTTTAATTGGGAATAAAACAATAATAATTAGTATTATGATGATAACAACAGTAGTGTTATAAAACTTAAGAACAAAAGAACAATAGAAAGATGAAGAGAAGAAGAATATAAGACAAGAGGAACAATATAAGCTAACTTTCTTTCTTTCTTTCTTTCAAGTGTGTACAATATGAACCCTTATGCCTCTATTTATAGTGTAACATAGAGGTATACAAAAGGTTAGTCATAAACATGAATATAATGGAGGTGAAAGGTTACAAGAATAATGATCATAAAGGTGGAGGTTATCTTCATAATGGAGGAGGTTATGTAGTAACTTCTTGGTGTAGTGGACATCCACTCTATATTATTTTATAACAAATAGTTAATAATAGCAATAATAATGAAGATGTTAATGGTAATAGATTACATTACCGATAAATAAGAAAATAATAATTACGATAAATGAAGCTAAAGTCAAAATAAAGATAATAAAGAAAAACATAATTTAAAAAATATATTTAAAAGTAAATATCTACACATACGACCTATTTTGAGACACACTACAACTTTAATAAAAGTATCATTTCGAAATTATTTATTTACCACAACTCTAGGGTAAATTTAATCATATAATTGTCTATTTTTAAAAGCCTAATACTTTAAAACAACTAAATTGGAATTTTACTTGTAGAGTTTCATGTATATATAATGGAGGTTCCAAACTACAAGGATTTCATTGCAAAAAAAATATATATTGCTTCTTAAGAAAAATCTTTAGTATTGCCCTTTTTTTTACTTTTCAAAAGTTCTCCACTTGCCCAAAAAAGGTTCACAAAAATAATAATTGTAAATTTAGTGGCTAAAATAATGGTAAATCATTCATGACTAGAATGACAGCTATTTTACACTCATCAAGTTAATTGAGTAGGTAATTTTCCAAATGAAAGAGTTAGTATAAGTTTGAAATTTTTATATACTTTTTTTTTTATCGAACTTGTTATATAGAGTTTGTTTAGTATAATTTACTTCTTTAATATAATTTTTTGGCGCAAATTTTTTCTTTACTTTATTATTAAGAATTTTTTTTCGTACGAACAAAAAAATATTGGGAACTATTAAATAAAAATGTATGATTTACAACTTAAATTTCTGTTATTATTTGTAATTAAAAAATTATTATATTTTCGCACAAAATATAATTAAGAAGAGAAATCAACATGTCCTCATTATATCAACTCAAGCTTAACTAACTAGTTGGGGATAATTAATTTATGGCCCCATTGCTTTATATGTCCTAAATTGAGTTTAAATTCAGTGTACTGATAGAATATATTTTTTCAATATTCTCAGTTTATGTGATACTATTTTTTACTAGCAGTGTTGCTATCCGGGATAGAACATACAACCTCAAGCAATTTTTTCAAACTCGTAATCATTACATTAAATCTTCAACTTGTATTAAGAAGTGTCAACACTTGTATATATATTTATTAAATCAAATTTTGACCTATATATACAAATTACAATATAATTTTTCAACGAATGGTGTTGGTTGCCCTAGGTAGCTCTGCCCCTGTGTATTTGACCAATAAGAGATAATAATTGTCATTTTCGTTCAATTTAAAATTTATTTTATGAAGTATATGCATGCATTTGTATAAATTTGAAGTTTTACAATACGTGACAAAATCTAAGACAATTAAATTTGCATAGAATTTTATACAATACACACTCTGAAAAAAAAATAAAAAATACACACACTTTGAGAAGTTCATAATTAAGAAAAATAATTGAAATTCAATTATTTTTTAATGATATTCTTAAATTTCGAGCTATGAAAAGTGAATGAAAACTCTTTATTACTGAGTCATATATTATTCCCATACATACTTAAAGTAGACATGACTAACTTTTTATCATGAGAGAATATGATTCTCTTAAAAGAATTTGGAACCAAAAATATTTGGAATAAAATCCAATAAAAATGGTTAATTTTTTTTTTTCTTTTTTTTTTGAAGTCATTTTGAAATTCTTACTTTTCTTCTGAAACAACGTAGGACATGTTCTAAAGACAACACAAGAATGACACGTCTAAAGGCACAATACAAAAGGTACCTAAGTTTATACTCATCACTTCGAACTTGAAAGTTAAGAATAAAGAAATTTCGATCATTATATGAGGGGACGAAAATATACAACTTATCTATTTATTTGAATTTGTATCTTCAGCTTAAACGATTGAACTTGATACAATATTAAAATATTCAATAGATAAGTATACATACATTTCTCTTTCAAGTAAAAAGAAAACTCGGCTTTTGTCTTCATCATTAAAATCCACCGCTCAATCAATCTTCTGAAGCTGAAATGAGTAGATCCAGAGTTCAACGTGGATTCGTTTGTTTTGATCCTTACCTACAAAACAGTTGCGCCTTATATCTCGAAATCGATAAACTAAATGAACTGTGATAGAATTTTAAACTCTCGAATTCACAAGATTTGAATTCAGTATCCGACTTATTTACGTCGTAAATACAAATCCTACATCTTATACTTACTACAACATAACAACAATACTACATACAAATAATATTTTTTTTAGACTAAACTAATCTCACTATCTCTATCGCTTTTTATGGAATCTCTTTTTTTTAGATCAAAGTAAAAAACAGTTGTAACAACAAAGCTCCATTGAACCATCAAACCATACAAAAAAATCCAAACCATATTATCCCACAACAAGTTAATCACAACCGTTGATTCAACCCTCTTGAAATCCGAACCGTCCATCGCCATGGCCATCGACATTTCCATCGTGCCACGAACCAAACCCGAAAACAAAACAAACAACCCGGACAAAACCCACCCGCATACCCGTTTCCCCTCCATCAAACCCGACCCGACCCGAATCGCATCAAACCCGTACATTCCTTCGTTAACCGATACCACGAGTGCCAAGCTCGTAACCGCCATCATATGGAGCTCCAAACCCGACCCGATAACCTCAACAACCACCCGAACAAACGGGCGGGTCTCGAGAAACGCCACGAGCATCCCGGGCACAATGCCACACGCTAGCATGATCACGTAAACGCACATTGTAGTAGCCCCGACCCGTATCCAAACGACTTTTACTGCGGTAAAAGCCGTTAGAACAGTCGGTTTTCCGTTGGAACATACGGAAAACGCGACATTTACCGCGGTGACCGCAGTAAAAAGGGAGAGTAAAAAAGTAGGCAAGAAAAATAGAATTTTCAAAAATAGCAAAGACTTAGCTTCTTCATTTGCTTCTTCTAATAGATGTTTGGACTCAACATGTATAGATGAAAATAATGATATTTCTTCAAGATGTTGAATTCTATTTTTTAAAGGGAAAGTGAGGAAGGATAATAAGAAGAGAAAAAAAGAGAGTGGAAATGAAAGGAAAAAGAAAATTAAAAATGAAATTTTTTTGGTGGAAATAAGAGAAATTTTGAAGGAATTGATGATAATTTTAGCAAGAAGAAATATATTATTTGGTTCTTGAGAAATATGGTCGGAATTTTCTCCGGTGGGCATTTTTATTTTATTTGGATTTTTTAAAATTTATTTTGGTAGGTTTTTTTTTGGAGGTTATAAGATTTGAAAAGAAAGATGGAAGTGGATTGTGGACCTATTATATAGTGTAATAATTTGAGAGTAAATTCCCTGGATAGTCACCATGTTTGGAAAATTACCTTGGAATATCACTTATATTTGTTTTAGAACCACAATATCACCCAATTTTACCTCTTTTCCTCAAAATATACTTACAACAAAAAAACATTATCTCTCTCCTAATAGAATGTCATGTCACATTATTCCTTTTTCATTATTAACATTTTTTTAAAAAAAATTTAGACAATCCATATTACCTAGTAAAAAAAATGGGAAAACTACATAAATACCATATAAAAATATTATCTCGCTTGAAAAATCGAAGGAAGCCACATATTTTCTTGAAGAGTCGGAGGAGCACATATTTGGATTTGCCGCCTAATCCCCTAGAACTAGGGTAGAAATTTTTGGGCTATGTAATTTTTTTTGGGGAAAATAAGCAAATACCCCATAAAAGCAAAATAATTACAAACATATGCCCCTTTACATTCATACCCCCACTAAATAATTACACTATATATCCCATTTACTAATTACGCTTAACTGATACTAAATTAGTATCATATATACTATATTTGTATCATTAAGGCTGATAATTTCGCTGACTTGATACTAAATCAGTATATATATATTGTACTGGTATCATTAAGGTTTGTTGTAAATAATTACTCATTAGAAAATGATACTATAAGAGTATATATATACTCTTATAGTATCATTTTCTAATGAGTAATTATTTACAACAAACCTTAATGATACCAGTACAATATATATATACTGATTTAGTATCAAGTCAGCGAAATTATCAGCCTTAATGATACAAATATAGTATATATGATACTAATTTAGTATCAGTTAAGCGTAATTAGTAAATGGGATATATAGTGTAATTATTTAGTGGGGGTATGAATGTAAAGGGGCATATGTTTGTAATTATTTTGCTTTTATGGGGTATTTGCTTATTTTCCCCAAAAAAATTACATAGCCCAAAAATTTCTACCCTAGTTCTAGGGGATTAGGCGGCAAATCCAAATATGTGCTCCTCCGACTCTTCAAGAAAATATGTGGCTTCCTTCGATTTTTCAAGCGAGATAATATTTTTATATGGGCACTAATGGGCAATGACACCTTTTTGTTGAGTCCGGAGCCAAAAGTGCAACTTTTTTTCTTTAAAACACAAAAACGGCCCATCAAAAAAAAAATTAACCAAAAGGGCAAAATCGCTCCTAACGGAGTGATTTTGTTCTGACAAAAATTGACGCCGCTCCGCTAAAAGAATTAAAAATTGTTGTCGATTTTCTCAAAAAAATATTTTTTCTTCAAAATCTCTGCTATATAGCAGCGTTTTTGTTTAAGAAATTAAAAAAAAAAGTTTTGAAGTTAAATCGTTGCTATAGCAGCGATTTTGTTTAAGAAATTATTTTTTTAAAAAAAAAACCTACCCTTGCAGAGAATTTAATAAAAATTAAAAAAATAAATAAAACTGAAGCCAGCGATTTTCATAAAAAAAAAATTTTAAAAAAAATCTTTACCCTTTCAGCGATTTAAATGAAAAGTAAAAAAAAAATTAAAACTGAAAATCGCTGCTTCGGCATCGATTTTTTCTTTAAAAAACTTGTTTTTTTTAAATGGCTGCTGCCGAAAATTTATGTTGCCGCCGGAAATTTATGTAATTTAAAACTTGTTCTTTATGTTTTTTTTTTAATTCCTTAACAAAAAAATCGCTGCTATCACTTTTAATTTTTTTTATTATAAAAACACTGCTATAGCAGCGATTTTAAAGAAATAATAATTTTATTTTAAGAGAAAATCGCTGCCAAATGCAGCGATTTTTATTTCTTTTAACGGAATGGCGTCAATTTTTGTCAGAAGAAATCGATCCGTCAGGAGGGATTTTGCCCTTTTGGTTTTTTTTTTTGATGTGCCCTTTTTGTTTTTTGAAGGAAAAAAATGACCCTTTTAGCTTCGGACTCCCTTTATGTTGATATTTTAATTCATTAGAGTAATAAGGTAACCATATTGTCAAATTACAAAGGATATAATGTTTTTTAAAGAATTTTAAAAAATGTTAATAATAAAAAATGAATAATGTGACATGGTATCCTATTAGGAGAGAGATAATATTTTTTTTGTATCAAGTATATTTTGAGAAAAAGAGGTAAAGTTGGATGATATTGTGATCCTAAAACAAACATAAATGATATTTCTAGGTAATTTTTCAAACATGGGTGACTATCGAGGGAAATTACTCAATAATTTGAGTATTGGCTTTTTGGAATTGTGGAAATATAGTATGAGTATCTTCTCTCTCTCTCTCTTTTTTAGAAAATATAATTACCCAAATTGACATGGAGTTGACAGTGTTGACTATTGTGAGGTTTATTTATTATTTTTTAAATTATAATACTTTTACTGTTTTTTTAATTTATATGACACAAAGTTTAAGAGAAATTTTGAGACTTGTGATCTAAAGCAAGTTATACATATTTGTGTGGTTATAAATTATCTTATTAGGAATAAAGTAAAAATTCTAAAATTCAACTGTCACGAAATATAAAAATGTATTTTTTATCTTTTTGAAACTGATTAAAAAAAATTGTATCAAAATAGAAGGAATAATATTTAGTATATAGAAAATGTTAACTAGATTAGTTTAATTTTGGGGTATGTTTCAAAATAGTTGATGTGATAGTTTAACAAACGTAAATACTTGATAATTCAGATAGGAAACTCAAAAAAAATGATAGTTAAATTTTTTTAAAAAGAATTTGATTTTACCCCTCATTTTTTTATTATATTTTAAAAGAGACAAATAATAAATATAAATATTCTTATATTCAAATTACAAAATGTTTTATGATGTATGCAAAAAAAAATATTCAAAATACAATATATTGTGGACAAATGGGAAGATGTGAAAACCATCCATTTAGATATTTCCAAATTAAAAGGGAACTTTTGAAATAAATAACATGTTAATTATATCATTGGACCACGTTTGTCTCTTTTGCTTTAATAATAGTGTCGTGGGTAGCTATTTCTTTAACCAAATTCTTGGGTTCGAGATATGTTTATCTTTAATAGAAAATATTTTATTATGTGTAATAATTTAGTAAATGATACTCATAATTTTCTGGATGCAGAATATTTTTTTTGTGGAGTTTATATATCATGAAATAAAAATTTAGAATTATCTCTTTTTTATTAGTTAAGTTTATGAATTTTATAAAATATATCGGATCGACTTTATTTGAACTTAAATTTTGTGGATTCATTCGTAAGAATCTAGTAAAAGATACTCATAGTTTCGTAGGGGCAGCATCTCTTTTTTGGAGTTTATGGGTCACGAAACAAGTCTCCTGGATCATCTTGCTTTTTCTTGTGTATTAGTCTAGGGATTTTTTTCTAAGCTTTTCATGAGCATTAGCCAATGAATATTTTGTAGATATACATGTCCAAAATCTTTTGACTCCAAATTTTGTAGGACCATCCGCAATTAAGTAATGAATGATATTCATAGCTCGTATAGAATTCACAATATTTTCTTAACGTTTACAAGTCAGGAAATAGAAGTTTAATATTTTTCTCAGTTTTTCGTGATTATTCGCCTATGAATATTTTGTAAATACTCCAAATTTTGTAGAATCATCCGTAACAACCTGAAATCGTGTTCTGTGACCTCTAAATTCTATTAAAAAATGACATGAATCATCTAAAGGCTAAGAATATGATTCACCTGATCATTACGGGTGATGCTAAAATAATTGGATAAAAAAGAGTTGTTGAGTAATATTTTAAAAAACTAATGAACGAACACACACGAAACATTAAGAAAATTCTAAATTCATGTTTTATGACCTCTAAATGCTATAAAAATAGCATGTATGCATCATGTAGAGGTTATGAATATGGGTTAAGTCATGATCCTAAAAATATTTGGGTTAAACAGTGATGTCAATGATATATTTAAAATTTCATGGACTAATACATAAAAAACTAACATCCTAAATTGGTATTTTTAGACCGCTAAATGTTACTCCCTCTGTTCTTATTTACGTGACTCACTTTTCATTTTAGTCAAGATAAAAATGAATGACACATTTCTATATTTAGTAACAATTTAATTTTAATGTTCATTTTACCTTTAATAAAATGATTTAAAGTCACATAAATAACTATGACTTATTTTAGACCACAAGTTTTAAAAATCTCTTTTTAAAAAAATATTTTGTGTCAAGTCAAAATAACCCACACAAATTGAGATAAAGAAAAATGTAAAAAGTGATGTGGATCATATAGATATATATGGTTCAGCGGGTCATTAGAGATGATCCTAAAATAATAATTGGGTTAAACAAAGTCACTCAGTATTTTTTTTAAAAAAATAATGGACTAACACAAAAAAAAAAAAGATTATATGATTCACCTGCCCATTATAGATGATGATACTAAAACATATTTGA